CGCACGCAAGCATGCACGCACGCACGCATGCACGCACGCACGCAAACACGCACGCACGCACGCACGCACACGCGCACACACACACACACATATAACACACACGCACGCACGCACGAACGCACGCACGCACGCACGCACGCAGCAAACACACGCACACACACGCACACGCACACTCACGCACACGCACACGCACACGCCACGCTCACGCACACGCACACGCACACACTACATTCACACGTACACTCACACGCACACGCACACGCACACACACACACCCACACACACACACGCGCGCGCACACACGCGCACGCGCACTCGCCCCTGCTCGCGCACGCGCACGCGCACGCTCACGCGCACCCGCACCCGCACCCGCACCCGCACCCGCAACCGCAACCGCACCCGCACCCGCACCCGCACCCGCACCCGCACCCGCACCCGCACCCGCACCCGCACCCGCTCCCAGACCCGCACCCGCACTCGCACCCGCATCCCCACTCGCTCGCTCGCAGGCGCGCACCCGCACACTGACTCTCGCACACGCACACACACACGCACACACACACACACACACGCACCCGCTCCCGCATTTGCGCACGTGTGCACACAAACGGGCACACACACATTCACAGACACACACACACACACTCACACACAAACAAATACGCACGCAAATGCACGTGCACATAGACACGCACCAACAACCACGCACGCACGCACGCTCACACAAACACACACCCACACTCGCACGCGCACGCGCACGCGCACGCGCACGCGCAAGCATACGCACACGCACACGCATACGTACACGCACACGCATACGCACACGCACACGCATACGTACACGCACACGCACACGCACACGCACACGCACATGTTCACACGCACATGTTCACGCACACGCGCACGCACACGCACACGCACATGCACACGCACACGCACACGCACACGCACACGTTCACACGTTCACACGTTCACACGCACACCCACGCGCACACGCACACGCACACGCACTCGCACTCGCACACGCACACGCACACGCAGACGCACACGCACAACACACAACACACAACACACAACACACAACACACAATATGCACCACACACACACACGTACACACAGACCACAGGCACAAATACGCACACACGTCACACACTAACCGCTGTAAGCGCGGAAACGGACGTTTTGTTCTTTTGCAGCCGCCTGTTTGGAAGGAGCTGATTGAGGAGGCGAAGCAGCGCGACGCGGGTGTGGCCTTCACGGACATGGGCCTCTCGCCGATGCCGACCCCGACTGCCACGCCGCGCATAGCCGACGGGGACCGGTGCGCTTTGTTTGTGCGAGCGGCGGGCGACTGCGGGACTTGTCATCCCCCAGGTTTTCGGCGGATTGTTTTTGGTTCGGTCGCAGCATGCTTTCTCCATGGTGGCCTTCGGGGGCTTTTTTTGTTGGGCCCCAGGGGCATTAGGCAATGATCTGGGGGGGAAGCAGGCGCAGAGGAAGGGATCAAGAGGTCTGGCGTCTGGCTGGGGCCCTCCTGGCTCCTGCTCCTCGCTCCTGCCTCCTCCTCGCTCTTGCCTGCTCCTCGCTCCTCCTTCACCTTCCCCCCTCCTCCAGCTCCAGCTCCTGCTCCCTTTCACATTACGCTGAGCAAGCAACAGCTGCGTGGCTGTTGCGGCCCTGTGAGGAAACAACAAGTATGGTCGACTTGGGCGATGTGGCAAAGCACACTGGCCGAGAAGCGTGCAACTGGAACAGGCGTGGCGATCAGAGAAGTATCAAGACTGGGAGCACGCCGTAGGGGCGTAGAGTGTCCACGCATCACGGCGGTGGAAGAGGCGAACGCACCACATCCGTTCACCACACATGAACCCGAAAGTATGATCCTCCCCCTCCGCCCGATGCCGAGTTGCGATGTTGGCCCAAGGCCATGCTGCAGGCGACTCGCCAGCAGACCGCACAGCACTCCGCTCAGCTCGCGTTCGGCTCCAGCTCCTTCTCCACCCCCCCCTGCTCCTCCGGCTCCAGGTCCTCCTCCTCCGCCTCCTCCGCCCGATGCCGAGCTGCGATGTCTGCCCGAGGCCATGCCGCGAGCCACCCGGCAGCAGACCGCTCCGCACTCCGCTCGGCTCGTGTGCACCTCGAGCTGCCGCGACACCTCGGGGGTGTCTTTCGCCAAGTCTGGCCGGTGGGCCCACGCATCAGTCATCGTCTCGGCCCCGCGTCGGGCCTCCCGAGCCACGAGGCCTCCTCGCTCCTCCGCTCTCTCCTCCTTCCTGCCCCCTCCTCGCTCCTCCTCGTCGCCGTCCTCGTTGCCGCCGCCGTCGCCACTTCCGTCGTCGTCGTCGTCGTCGTCGTCGTCGTCGTCGTCGTCGTCCCTCTCTGCCGGCTTGCAATAGTTGTCAGCCGCTGGGGCGCACGGTGTGGTCGCCACGACGTGAGTCCGCCTACGTTTCGCATCTCCGAGGCCGCGGCCGCCACGCCGTGCCTCACTGCCCACGG